ACAGCTGCCTACAAGACCAGTTTCAATGTCAAACTGTTCAGGTATACGAGTATTGCCTCCACTACTTACAAGCTATGTGATACTGAGCAAGTTACTTGTTCATTCCTCTGTTTCTTCACTTGGTCAATGTAGATAATCGGGTGCCTAACTGATGGATGAAATTATCCATGTAAGGCACTGAAGATATGGCCTAGCATTTCCTCCAGAAATATTAGCTGTTCTGGTTAATAATCCTATGCCTATGAGCTCTCATTCATTCATTTCCAAGTGAATCTTTTCTGGCTTGGCAGCCTCGGATTCTGTTGCTGTTCTCATCAGCTCCTTCCTTCCCACTTCTGGGAATGCAGGGCTGGGTTCAATTCCCCACCGGCAGCTTCCATGATTGCAGCAGCCGTGCCAGACTTACTGTCTACTCGCCTTCCTGATGGGAAAGAACAGACAACACATACATCTGCCCTGCAAGTCACTGTGTGTCTTTTACCACCCCACTGAAACCACTTAGACACGCGCTCTCTCTTTCTAGTCTGGCTTTGTGAAAGTCACCCTAACCTTCAGAGCCCCGTGCAATAGCCTAGGTTCTTCTCAGAAGCATTTTCTCCAGGTGGTTCCCCATGGCTTCATCGGCTTTCTCACCGGGAGTGCTCTGGCATACTCCTTAGGGAGGGTGGAAGAAATAGTTCAATAAAATACATGAGTTGCTTTTGTTTTTTTAAACTTTGCCATGACCCTGATTGATTTTTTTTTTAACTTCGTCAGAGCATCAAGGTTCTTGTGAGAGACAAAGTATACCAAGGGTCAAGGGCCAGACCATACAAGACAGTAGAACTCTAACCCCCAAGCTATGCAGCAACCAAGCCAAGAAGCCTAAACACTACAACCACTGCAGCCATCGCACTGGCTCAGAGCAGGGAAAACCTACTCCATAACTGTGTGCTTCCTCCCTAGTTTCCCACCTACGTTCCCCTAACCAATCAGAAAGGATACGGAGGATGATGGCTCGCTCTGACAGGCCCCTCCTCCACCTTCCTCATGAAAACCCCCAATGAGCGCATACCTAAACATTTCTCTTTATTTTACAAACCGTCCCCACTCCCACGCTTGATGGCACCCGTCCTCCCCCACTATAGTAGGTGGCAAGCAAATAGCCTCTGGGAATTCTCACTTAAGAAGTCTTTCTTTCCACACTTGAAAATCTGAAATCGTCCTAAACGGAGATCTCGCTCCTTAGACATGTTCACATGTTCAGGCGCTTTCAATGTAGTCATTATTAGAATTGAGGTATAGAAACAGATCCAGTCCCAAAACAGTGATTTCTTTTCAAATTAAAAATGCACATTGAGTTTATGAATTTATTTTCCTATCTATCTTTGCTGAAGAATTGTGAACATCATTACTTAATAAATGTATTTTACCAATATCTCCATAATGGAATATTTGAAAGGTCAGAAAACCAATACATTGACATTTCCACTAAATAAAATAAACCAATAAAAATTAGCTGAAAATTGACCTGCTACATTGAATATTTCTGAAATCCCAAATACTGTACTTGAAATAAAAATAGATATTTACACATTTTGTTTAACCCCAAAATACTTATTAAACACCTCCTTTTTCTAGACTGTCTTCAAGACTGTCTTGAAACAAACAGGCAGAAAGCAATCCTACAAGGTGCAAGTAATTATAAATAAGTTATAGGTTAATAAATGAAAAATTACAGAGAGGGGGACCCGGATAATTGAGAGTCCCTAAAGGATAGAGGGTAATAGTTAATAGGGTGGCGAGGAAAAAGCCCATTGAGAAAAGCAAATTTGAACAAATACTTGGAGAGTCCTATATGTTTCTACTCCTTAAATGTGCACAGTCTGTTGAAGGACTGTCTAGTACTCAGTAGTTGCATTTGAGAAATTGAAGGCTATCCCACTAGGGATAGGAAGATGCTGGAGGATGGAAAGAGGGCGTATCAGGTGGCTCAGGACGAGAAAGCATAAAGAATGGGAACCATTTTGTCTTTCCTCTGAAGGCAATGGAGGCCCCGGTGCGATGAATTAAGAGATATGTGCTTGCTAGTGAGTTACCCTTTGGGAAGCTAATTTCAGGGTCAGCATTTCCAAATCACGCATCTGCCTGTAAAGAATTACATGAGAGTCCGACATGAAGAGGGGGAGGGGGCATGGGTGGAGGGAGAAACAGGGTGGGGAGAGACTGGGTTGGTGGCACGGAGGGAACAGGGCACTGGCCCACAGGGCGGTGGGGTG